CAGAAACAAGCCAACAGGCTAATGTGGACAAACACAAAAGTGACCAGAAACAAACCAACAGGTTATTGACTGCAACATGTGTCGACCAAAAATTGTTTTTTATTTTAAAAACAATTAGACAAAAAAATGGGAATCAACATTTTCACAAAAATATCTACCCCTGCAAGCTCAAGATGTATCATTGCTTGCATATGAAAATGGTCCTGTGGTTAAATGTAAACTTGCAGGCTAACTAGTTATAATTTGGTTAACTTTTTAACTTAATTAAAATACATATGTTAGTTAGGTAATTTTCTTAAAAAGTTAATAATTATGTTAACAAGTTAAAACAATTATAATGTGTTACAGTATAGTTAAGATACTGTTAAGAGATAGTTAACACATAGTTAGTAAGTGTAGGGAAACAACATAACTAGTTATAAAACCACAGCCCATCTAAGCACGCGCCACACAAACACACTTAAGGCCGCGCAAATCCCACTGGCACTGCGACACCACGAACGTAATTTCGCCACACGGTCCGCCACACACTAGAAGGCACAGCGACATCACGGACGTAATTTCGCGACACCGTCTGCCACTTCTGAGTCCATCTCTGAAAGGCTCTTTCCCGCACTACATTTGCACTACAAACTGGCCACTTCTGAGTCCAGCTCCAAAAAGCTCTTTCGATATCTGCTTGGGCTGCGCCTTTCCATTTTATAAACATAGCCGTTTAATAGCCGTTTATAGAACGGTCGGAACAGGATGAAATCCTTATCAATGCTAAACCAACCTGGTTATATACAAAATAATAGTCTCGTAGGGGCCTATGTTTGTGATGCAGGGACCACATGAAAAGTCCAAGAAGGCATCCGAACACTTTGTTGGCCACGCGAAATGTTTTCTTCAAATGATATTTGAAGGCATAATTGTGGCATTAGGAGGCTCGAAAACTTGTTTTTGGTGGTCTTAAGGGCATCCAAAATGACTGACATGAGTAGCTCCTTTTGCTTCCTAGGGGTCAGGGCAAATTCTGGAGGTGCAGGTCCTAAAGAAGTGCTTTCCTCATCTGCTTTCACTATAGGTCACTTTATAAACCGCCAGTGTGTGTCTGTTCCCTAGGTGGGCTGCTATGATTGCACACTGCTGCTGCTTCATTGTCTAAAATTGACAGCCCCAACACCAAACCAAAGCGCAAGCTCTTGCTTTTTGCTGCATGACTTGAGCCACGTGTTGTGGCGGGACGAGGTCACGAGTCCTTCGGTCCGGCATGTGATTGGATGTCCATGCTGCATGAACCTTCAGTTTCACACCGATACTTTTCTGTAGGACTTAAATCACACGCCAAGCCATCCATGACAGCATCTAGGCTGCCAGGTTTCATCGCCTTCGTCAAGGCGTCGGCAGGCATCTGCTGAGTCGAAGTCCAGTGCAATGCTGTCGTGCGATCTGGTGGCAAATGATCTGTCAGCAAGGGGTCTCCATAGGCTTCGCCTTGTTGTCTCCAGAAAAGCTGCCTTGCTGCACTCAAATCTATTGCAAGCCTTTTGTCTTGTACTGTGTGCAATCCTGGTTGGCTTGCATGCTCAAACAATGAATGGCAATCAGTGTACAGATTGACGCTCACTGCGTCCTGAGCTGCCACCTGCCATGTCAAAAGGTCACGGCCATGGTCACTCCACAAGCCATGAATGACATAGCGCATGTGCTCGCACTCCTCCATGCAACTGATCATGGACATGGTCTCAGCCTGCAATGTCGACCGACATACGCGTCTGATGCATGTTGAATGCCAATCCAACGACAACAAATGCCCTTCATGCGTGCGCTGGAACGACTGGTGCGCTAGGCACATGAGCCTACCGCTCTGACTCCTGAGGCCCAACCGTTGTCCAGTGCTGCTGACATCTGCGTCGTTGGCGAACGAGGCGTCTTGAATCCCAACAAGCATGCACTCCTCAAAAGGAAAAGTCTTGAGGGGGTAGCTGATGCCACGCTCTTTGCTGTGCCTTGCAACCTTCACAATGCTGTTTGCAAAATGCACATCACCGAATGTTGCTTGCGAAACATTGGATTGAAGGAAACTCACAGCGTACGACTAATCTGGGCGGCACACTCTCGCTAGCCATGCTAAGCTGCCAATGACACTGCGCAGCTGATCTTGGATGAACTCTGGAACACGCTCGTCCTTCGACTTGCGCTGCTGGGTGGTCAAGTAAATTGGCTTGACCCTGTCAACAAGACTTGGGCAGCTGATGTGAACTCCAGAGCTATCCTTCTTGACTTCTCTGCCGCAGTATCTGAACTCGTTCTTGGACAGTTTGCCAAACTTGTATTTCTGGCATATGGCTTCCATCTTCAACCATTGAGGCTCACCCCAATCATCTTGCCATGTAGTCTTCTTCCATT